AGTTTACAAAGGACACGGACAAATATCGCAATGGGTAGACCCATGTGGGCCTACTGTGTACATTTGAGTATGGCTGAGGGTACAGCCGAGTACAGCCGAGATTGGCATAAACGGCATATGCCTTCCGCATAACTGTCGACTATTACGCAAGCGGAATCAAAGTTAATTCAACTTTCGCATGGCTTCCTGGTTAGTAAAATGGGCAGGAAGTGCATGTAGTCTGCTGTGCTCTTCTTACATATAGCTAGCCCCTTAGAAATGTAACGCTAAACCCCTATTTTTCTTGCGTAATTAAACAACCTAGCATCGTTTATTACTTACAAGTAACTTAGCATTGCACTTGCAATGCATGACTAGGAGTAGTATGTAGATTGCTTTGCTTCACAACCCCCTTCTTTAGTCCGTTTACAACCTTCCAGATATGCTCACGTGATTAATTACGTCTAGAATTTGCAGAAATGGGAACACTCAAGCTATCTCTTCTTTAGCAAAGATGGTGTTACTTTGTGGCATGTTCAGCAGGGCTGATCCTCGGTGTTCCCGAAGCCCATAAGAGCTACGATCAGGGTATTCCGACCAAATAAGAGGGTGTCGCAGCTAATGTAAAGTCTTTTAAGATACTGTTCTCCAAGTGTCTTGTTTTGTGCATATATTTTCCAGCATATCATCTAATGCACACCTTTGGAGTTTATAACCTCTCTCCTCCGCCCACCCCTATCAAACGTCCTCGGAAAGAGTTATAAGACAAATCTCTTCTTTAAACCTCTCCTTCTGGAATTCTTCTGGCAACAGGCTGTTCTCCTGCACTTATTCCATACGATTGAGGAATGACATCAAACGAGCAAAGGCTCGTGTGATTGTCCATGACTTCCAAGACACCGTTCTCTCCATATCCCGGTTGAAGTTGAATGATTCGAGAAGCTGGCAGCGTTCCTTGTGCGTCATGGAATTCCAAACGTCCAGGAAGAATACGAAGATGGCTACGGATAGTACGGAAGTCTCTTCTCCATATTTATCGCATCCGCTGTGAGAAAAATAATAGCCAGCACAATAGCCAAACTTGGATACTGTTAGTAAAAATGCAGAAGGAATATAATGCTCGGTAATTACGACTGTTTTTTGAGACTCTCAAACCACGCCGGATCTAGCCGGAAGATTCCATTTTACCTATTCCTGGGCTTGCTTTACTTAGCACTCGAGGATTGCCCTAAGGAACATATTATCGTATTATTATAGTATTCCTAGTCGTTCAACTGCTCGAGCGATCAGGCCCTGAGGATATAGTATCCAATGAGCTCCACAGCTTATATGAGTGATAGAACACATGCGTATCAATCGCATGTGGGCAAGATTTGCTGTAAAGGTAGAGCTCAGGGATGTAGGCGCGGGGACGCGCTCGAGAATAGAGAGAATTTATCAGTTCAGCGGGAGCGGGAAGAAACCTTCGCGTTGATACGTTTTAATAGATTTGGGGAGAATCGTCCTGTCTTCATGGGGAGTAGTCGGATGTGTTCGCTTTCTCAACAGGAGAAGAAGCCTTCCTCATCTGTCATCTGTGGTTGGGGTTGCTGGAACTTGAGCTCGGACCACTCGTCCAACGTCACTCCCTTATGCGCCTCATCAATCCATCATCTTCGTATCCATTCTCACTCAGTAGATTTATGCAATGCTTCTATGTTTCAAGACCCACAAAGGCATATTCCTGCTAGATATACCAGGTAAGTTCATCCTTTAGCTTGTTGCCAGCTTGCTCAAGCTCCTGTCGGCTGTATTAATTTCGTCACATCAGACGATGGTGTTAGAAGGTCACATGACAGAGGCTGAACGCATGATAAGCGGTGTCGTCATGGGGGCACTAGCGCCTCACCCATATAAGCCTCACTGGAAGACACATACATAGGATCATCACGATTGTACTCAATGACATTACATTCATCTACTTTCCAATAGACGGAGGCTCAAATTTACCGATATAAATATCCTCCATCTCTCAGCTCTCTAAAGGCTAGCATAAGTCTCCTCGGAGGAAAGCTCAGGAGGGGTGTGGGCTAACAACTGAAGTTGACACGTCTGACAAATATTCACGAAGAAAACGGTTTCCTTTCTCCAATTCCATTCTTGGATATCAACTGTTGCAACATTCTGCATGTCTTAAAGGTCTATTCGGAATATCTGTTCGTATCGATTAGTGTAACCTCGTACGCTTTTTTAGTTCGATTTATTCCAGAGGTTGCGTGCACAGCAGAAATGTCCCGCAGCATCCATGCGTGCATGCCATACTTCCAACCTGATATCATGCTACTTCTCGTCTGGCAAGTGAAGGAAGGTTGTGACGACTATGGCTTCTTTAGGTGGAAGTGATGGGTATAGGTGGGTTTCTACGAGCAAATTGGTTACCTTCCATGCGTACTCAATGCTCTGGAAGGCAGGGGAAGAGTCGGGTAGATGGAAAGAGTATCGAAGTTACTCTGCATTACTATATTATATGTAAGCGGTATCCCTCCGTGCCAGCGTCCAGCGTCCATCGTTTTCAAGGTTGTGCTTACGATTCGCATGCGAAGTGCACACTCTAAGTCAGTCACGTGCCTTGGTCCGTTTGCACATCACGTTGGTGTCGCGCTGACACTCTTGCTACGGTGCCGCATACAAACACATCGCCTTCTATCACACAATAAAATCAAAAAGGTTCCTCGCGATGGCTAATCTGAACCGCGTTCAGGCTCTCGTCAAGGAGGAGCATCCGCAAGCCCGAGCTGCCCCGTTATCTCCTCCACAACCTCCTCCGCAGCTTCCTCCAGCGGCTGGACCAGTTGCTCTTGCTGATATCGATCGCGCACCTAACACCGTTTCTAAACTTACAAAAACCGGCATTCCCACGGCACCGCGATCCTACTTGGAGTCCGGAGATACTAGTAAGCTAAACGCCAGCATGTCATCGACCTCCCTAAGATTCAATAAAGAGAATAGTAAGTATCTACCCCCGCACGGGCTATACTACGATCAGTTCAGTCTACAGCGTATCTTTGGGCCCGGCTTCTTCTCAGGGCGAAGCGGTAGTTGTGGGCATTGTTGGAAATCCAGGCATGGGCTTAGCCAAGACTGTAAGAGGGCTTGTGGTGTATGTAAGACAAAAGACCACCTACGAGAGGTAAGTACGTCATATCCAAGAGAGGAAAGGAGTCCCTGTGCTGAATCGGAGGTTAGACATGTCCCATGTTGTATTGCTCGTTCAGCTGGTATGGCACCAGACACGTTGAGCCGCATCCCGATGCACAGTTCCGTCCAACTCTAAGTGAAGCAACTATTCTCGCCAACAATGGAATCATCTACCCGATTGAACGGGATGGTGATTTCATCCATCCTATACTCACTCATGCGGTTGTCAAGCGATTCTACGGCAGCATTCTTCCGCTTATGCCACTCCAAATTCGTGCGACGCCTGAGATGGTGACAGCTCGCAAGATTGTGCTCGGTAATCTCACATTCGCCCAAGAAATCTCAGGCAGTACATCCCAGCTGTCTGAGCCATTCCACGACTCAGCTAGTCAACCCTTCAGTGTGGTAGATGTTCCGCCGCAGGTCCACCCACATGCTCAGAACACTACCCAGCGCAAAGCTCTGGCGTCTCTCCCTGCGCTTGAATCCGACCCGACGCTTGGTGAGAAGACTACATCGAAGAACCCACCAATCAGGTTCTCCTTGGCCCCGGCTATTGAAAAGATGACCCATTGCGACAAACTTTCTATGAAGATCAAGCTTCGATCCGGATCAAGTTTCCACGTGTGCGATTTTCGACCTTGGCGCGAGCCATCGAGGATCGACTTCACACAGCTAGAAGTGACCCCAGAGATGAAGACAGAAATGTCGCTACCACCCACATCACACATGAGCTCTGAGAGAACCAGATCTCCCAGTCACGCGCAATCTTTGCCGCCAATGACAATGCAGAGCATTGAACCGTCGCAAGAATTCGAATCAGAATCAGAGCGGCGCATGCAACAGCTGGAGGATCGTATTATGGAGCTGCAGCGGACCATTTCTAGCAGAGACGAGGACCTGATCATGAAGGACAGAGAGATCCGGCGCCTAGAGATCGAAAATGAACGTCTGGCCAGGGAACAAGGGGAGGCGGATTATAGGATTTGTTCGAAGCGTCCGCGATACAGCGAAGATGGATCAAAACTTTGATCGAGGCTAAGCAATTCCTGCTGTGTATAATAGCTATAGTTGTATGTACATACATGGGGGTACTTAACCTCAGCGATCGGGCGACCCGCGAATCCCACCTTATTATCTGAACAGTTGATACCAGCCGTGACACGAAGAATGCCATGTTCTGTCGCTTCATGAGCTCGAAATGTTTGATGAAGACGAAGTGACGTTGAGGCACCATCTCCTGTGCAGGAAGGGCAGCCGGTTTATATCAGACAGAACGTCAGTGACTCTGGGTTGCGGTGCTTGGTTGGGATTTGGTATATTAGCAGTGTTAAAAGCAATTATTGCGCAGCAAGGAACGAGCGAGGTGACCTTTGTCCGTGCGTCGTCCGTGCGTCGCCCATGAACCTCGATCTATCGCGATATATCGCACCCATCGATCGCAGCCTCGATATATCCATCAATCGCCCTGATATATCGCGATACATCGCACTGATTGATTACAGCCTCGATATATCGATATCGCACTGAACAGTCGGCCTGATTGATTGCGATATATTACCTTGTTTAATTGCCCTGATCTATTACGAGCTCCTCGCTACGCGCGCAATTAATTCCATGTATGATTATTTGTTGCGTGTTAATTATAAATTATTGCAATAGACATTAACGCTTATGAATAAAATGCATATACATGCAGAAAGTCGTGCAAAAAGAAAAAATTTGAACAATTTTGCCAAGGAAACCCCCGATTTTAGCACAGCAAAAAAAGAAAAAGAAAATTCTGCTGATTGAACAAACTCGCAGCGAGCAAGAGAGAGAGCAGCGCAGACGCAAAAAAGAAATGATTTCGCCGAGGTTTGAACTCAGGACCTTCAGTGCGCAACTCGGAGGCTGTTAGACTGACGTGATAACCAACTACACCACGAAACCGTGTTTGATCAGTTGTGATCTGTTTTTGATTTGATGAAAAAGTTTTGAAAATAACCTTGTTATTTACTGCAACGCCAGTTGTCGTTTGGACGATGTGGTGTATGTAGTATGTACAGAACTTGAGGTGGACAGGGATAGTGGGGGTGGGGCGGACAGGGGACTCGATCTGATCGGCCACTCGCGACGCTGCACAAAGGTTTTCGCGGATATATTTTGTTGCAGGGCGTTGATTGGATGGCTCGGTCTCTGTAAAGAGGTAGGTTTGTAGCCCCTCGCCGCGTACGGGGTCCGTCATCCGACTTGGAGGGCCATCCTACCATGTCAGCTTTCTCCATGCAGGACTCATTAAGGTGTTGAAGAATACAGTTGACGGTTTCGAGCCGGACTCGTTGAAGCTTAGACTGGATGGATGGTGATGATCTAGATGTCATGTCGAGGATGTTGACGACCAAGGTACCAGCCGTGAGGGCTGTGTGATTCAAATCGTAAAGGCTGCGAACCCAGCACTCCTAGCAAATCTCACCGGTATAGGACGATTCCGATATTGTGCTTGTGCTGCCTTCTTCTGTCGAGCAAAGGGTATGGGTGGCGGAAGCATATTCCAGGTCTTTTAGGGTCTTTCAGGTAGACCGTCTTCGTGTATGGATTTGGAGAACAGGCTATAGTAAAACATTAGCTTCTGGAACCCTTCTAACGTATCGCTTGATTAGTACTCAACGAAATAGACGGGTGAAAGTCCTGCACTGCATTACGCTTACTCTAACGTGGCCAACCGGAAGTACTACGTTACGATGAGAGGAGGTGTCGTAGCGTCTAAGGTAGCACTACTTCTAGTATAATAGGGTAGACAGAAAGGCACCCTACGTTCTATAACTATTATAGTCCTAAAATAGTAAATAGTATCTAAAGTATAGCTGCATGTAATCTGCAGTACGTATATATAGGCCCTTTTTTAATAGCTAATGTTCTTAATATCCTTAATATACCTATTTTTAACGCTTAATATAATCTGCTAATAGGCACTCTACCTACTAATCTAAGCCTCTAGCTAGGCACCCCGCCTACTAATCTCTAAGCCTTATAGGCTACTACATTGACTATACTACAGCCTTATTTCAATTTACTGTATAATACAATATAAGTTATATTATAGGGCACCCCCTGCTACTTCTAATACGGATTACGTGAGCCGTACCTTACCAGAAATAGCAATCGTAGTACTTCCTGTTGGCCACGTTAACCCTTAGCTGCCAGTTCCGGAGGTCTCACCTCTACCATATGGTCGAGAATTCTGTATGGATGCAAAGGAGGGAGAGAAGTCATCTTGACAAGTGTGAGCAGAGTAGAAACAAGAGATAGTGTTAAGGGACGGCACAGTTTACAAAGGCATCGTGACGAAAGGGAAATAGTTTTCCATCTTAGTCACCCACCTTCCTTGTGGCATGATTTTATCAAGAAGTCTGGCTGGGTCGGCGGTCGCGACTTCCTTAACATTCCGCGCCAAGTCCAGCACGTTTGAGGGTCAACATCAACACTATTCCCACAACGCTTCCGGCGTGCTGCCGATGGCACGAGCATACATAGTATCGAAGAATGGGGCATCGACGGACCTAGTTGTCTCGACGTGGCTGCAAGTCAGGCTTTGAAAGTCTTCGTCCATGGATGATAGGCCTCTCTCGAGCAGTGAGCTTTTTCGGTTGTGAGGGAGCGAATATTGGCCGTGCCTCAAACTCGCTTCAATGCAGCTATAGCCTATATGCATGAGGATGGTGATAAACATATATATTGAGATGGTTGCTTGTCCTATGTAGAACGGTCTTGTACAAACTCCTTCACCAACCAGAGTTAACCCATGCTGAACATTTCTTGAATCCTTTTGTATTTCTGCGTCCTCTTTCCCGTACCACGAATCAACGTCACGGGCTAGGCAAAACTCTCCCGGGCCCTTTGAATCTCTTCTTCTTCTCTAGGTTCCATCATCTCCGGTAAGTTGTTTGTATTGCTTCTCTTTAGTCATGCCGGCTTTAGACGCTAGACAGTAATGTGATATAAAGAGGATTTGTGAAAGAAGGCACGACTTATCGTCTCTGGATCTGTCTCTATTAGCTACGTATCTCTGTAGATTGTCTCTGTAGATTGTCTCTGTAGATTTTACACAAGGGTTTGTCGGAGAGCTACGTCAGGCTCTGCAAGATTCAACCTAAGGAAACTATGAATGCTAGGAACAATCAATACGAATTAAGTAACATGTATATGTACTGGAAAAGATATAAGCTCGCCCGTAAGTCAGACTCTAATCTTACAGTCCTTCCGATAAGCACGCTAGCGCGCCTTCCTGACCTACGTCCATCTGCCCACTCTCACCTCCACTTTCACAACCTGTTTTCCTCCAACCAACTCTTACCTGCACTTATCCGCATCCTCTCATCTTCTATCCTGTTCCCAAACTTATCCCCGAGCATCATACCGTAGCCACCATGGCTGACGGAGTGGATGACCCGCCACACAATCGCGTCACTAGGCGTCACATCAGCGCTCTGACTAGTCTCTCTGGCCATCCCGCTTGCGCAGATCTTCGAAAGAACTTGTTCAAGACCCTGGGCGAGGACGACCTTACCAATATTGTGCAGCAGCTCTGGCATGATGGGATCAGCCGCGCAGGACGTGAGAAAATCGCTGCGCTTATGTTGGACACTCTAGTCTCAGAGAGTGAAACGTGTGTGGCTCTCACAGGCGTAGCTCGAGGTCATGAATCTCACCAAGCTCACGGTCCTGGTAAATAGAAATTTGCGCGTTTGGATAGCTTAGACTAACCTTCACCAGGCGGCTTAGCAAGGGCGTCCGTGGAAGCACCAGGAAACCTGGCCAACAGCCCTTTCGTAATGTGCAACGAACGGTCTGCTGTTAATCCACCACTAGGGTTCGGACCAGGAACCGGAAGCGGAGCCGTTGGTGCAGGATGGGGCTCGAGGGTACGAGACCTGGTTGACTTTACAGCACCCGAAGGCTACAGGCAAATAGAAGAAAGCCCTAGACAGCGGAACTTTCCAAGGGTTCGCAACGAATATCGTCAGCTCAATGAGGTTTCAAGGAACGAAGTCGGATCAGTCGCCGTCACCCCGGGTTTCAGTCAACTGCAGAGCTACAGCCGAAAGCGTCAGATGACGGCCACAACAGTGTTGCAGGAGAAAGAAGAGTCCGAGGACGATGAGGCTGGTTGTTTATCGGTCATTGATAATATGACGAAAGACAGAGGAGATGAAGCGTACAAAGATTCTCTTACTACTATGCGTATGCTTAAGACGAGTTTTGCAACCATCCCCACACGCGACATGGTCTTGTGGGTACCAGGACAATTCAAAAGGGAATATAAGCCCTTCATCAATCTACCAGATACCGTACGCGCAGACATTGACAGCTCATTTTGCACTCATTTCCTAAGCACCGAGTCTAGGATTCAGAAAGTTAGGAAGGTGTTGAGGGAACCAGAACAATACTCGCCGGATGTTAAACCAGACATGTGTCTTAGCAAGATGACGGTAGCTTCAGGAGGTAGACCAGGTATACCTTCGTGGAAGTTGGCAGAGGGGAACAAGGACATGTCTTGCGACCACTGCTTGAAGCTCAACAGACTGTGCATCAGGATTGTGAAGATCGACGGAGAGTACAGATTCGGTATCCAGCCTGTTCCGGAGAACTTGCGCGAGGGGTCAACCTGGGAGGATACGCGGTTCTGGCTACTCCCTTAACTGCCAGACTTGGTCTTCACTCCTGCATTATTGGTCTGGAAATTTTTCCCACGTCTCGGGGAAGGTCGGATGTCGAGAGGAGTTCAAAGACGATCAAAACCGTGGCAGTGAAGATTTCCGAGGGCTGTTTCAAGAGTTGGTTTGGGCCTTGGCAATAGTCAGAACTTGCGACATTACCTCGAAGGGGTTTTGGTCGTTGATGTCATGGATTTTCTATATTTGGCAGTAAGCGTGTAATAAGAATGTTCACTTATCGTCTTGTTGACGGAAACTCCGACCTGTACGTCAATGTCCTGACATTCGATGTACAGTACCTCCAAAAGTAGCATGTAGCTAGTAATACCAGCATCTGCTTGATCTGTAAACTCGAAGTGTTGATATGTCATGTCGTACAGCTGTGCATCCAACTTGCTTGGTACTGTTGTGGCCTAAATGGTCTTGCCTGACTACTGCCATAATAATATCCTACAGACGAGCCTACCTTCTCGGGTTACACCAAAGCTGTTCAGCCCTAGGGTATTCAGCAGCCCTACTTTTACAGATTTCCATCTATTGCATATACCCACTATTGTATCCAACAAGCCGTCTTCTATGGAACTCACTTTTATTCTCTGAGGTCGGGAGTGCCCAGGTGCCCTTTCCGGTATTAATTAGTAGAGAAACCTGGAATAATTAGTGTGACGATAGGAGGGGACGATATGTAGTGGGCTGCATTGCTAGTGCTGAGAACTAGAGGTACAGATGTCGATTTGTAGGGTCTTCCGACTAAGAAGTTGAGTCGTGTATATGCTGTTTTCAAGGATACTCAGTGGGCGAGATGTATGGCGGTCATGATGGAGAACGTGCCGAGGCGATCTGAGATATATTGGGGAAGCGGCGGCATCTATTGAGGCGGGAAAGACACAGGTTGCGCGTCCGGTCCATGAAGAGATATGCGGTCAAGTGAAGATTAACCATACAAGAGAGGCCGTCACTGCTTTTTGTTCTCAGGTATAACAATATCCTGCAAACACCTTTTCCAGTCGTACTACTGTCCCATAGTTAAGCCCGAACTCCATCGCTATGCAAAAAATTAAAAAAAAAACCAGTAATCTCGTACCCTCTTGGCGTTCACACAGCGCCCACAAAGACCCACCCATCTTCCACAACCCCAGCAGCCTTACAGCCCAGACAACTCGCATGATCGCAGCCAGTCGGTTTCCTGAAGTCGTACTCGTCCCAGCTATACGTGTCGTCCTCACTGTCGTCATT